CACTGACACTTGAAATTTTTGAAAAACTAGAGCCTAGAAGCCACGTTTGCATCAAACAATGGTCCTCGATATGCTAATAAGGCCATTTTGCTCTGAGAATTATGCTCTTTTGAAGAACTCCATCTATTTAAGAGACCTTGACTCCAAAAATCAGACTGGGCGTTAGATTAGGGTAAAGCAGTGGTGATTTTAAGTGGTCTTTAAGGCAATATTACATGAAATGCTTATCTAATGCATATGGGCACTCTCATGGCTGTGCAGAAAATGACACATCTTGAGAAAACTAAGTTCTCAGAGATTTTCCTCCCCATTGAAGCAGTCTTTGGGGAAACTAAATGCTTCATCAACTATGGCCTTGCTCTGCAGTGGCCCTCATTTAAAAGAACAGAATCCGTGTGTTTGGGTGGGCAGAGGCACTCTGGGTGCCAGTGATCAGAGAATTTTTGTGGGAATTCATGATCACGGGAGGAAAAGATGTATGAGGGCACCTAAAACCTTAGAACATTTGACTTCAGTGGAATGGTTGACACAGGCCTGGCTTGGACTCCGTTTTGTTTTAGGTTCTATTTCTCTGTTTAAGAGTGATGTCATTTGTGGGGCACACAGGGAAGGGCAGTGTGTTCCTGGGAAGAACACAGCACATGCTTTAATGAGACCTCTACCAAGAGGAGTCCACCCTGTGTAATCTTGCTACCATATACCTTTTACAATCCTCAACGGAAAAGTCTTCTACTTTTGGTTGTTCGGGAGGTCTTAGGCTTTAGGCTACCTGGACTTGAGATTGTCTCCTAAAAGAGTCATAACATTTTTCATAGGTAGAAGAGGCCTTTAATCTCCAAGGCTGCCTGCTTTCACTCCAAAATATAGGTATTGGAGGAGCCGTCGGTTAAAGGACTCATTAGCATTCTGCTAGAAAAGAATGAACCTTGCCCTTTTACTAATCCACATGCAACCAAACTGGAAGGGGTTAAACCTTAGATAACAGGGTAAGACAACATTTTTTGCTACTAGGACTGTCCTAGGAGAATTTCATAGGGAAATCTTATTCCACCTACCCTATAACTCTGCTCTTGTTCCCCAGCCCTCTTTTCTGTTCTGAAAATGCAACGGACATTTAAAAGTCACGTGGATGGAGTCACTCAGAGATGCAAAAATGTTGAGGCAGTGCAGACGGAAGAGCCCAGAACCCTGATGGGGAAGAGTTAGCGAAGGAAACACCATCTTCAGGGGCGTATGGACCTAGAGGGAGCAGATGTTGGAAAACAACAGCTTCGCATTTTGACATTTTGTGGGAAACTGAGGACCAAGAAGAGAGTGTATGCGGACCAATTCTCCAGGCTCATAATTAAGGTAGCCTGGGAGGCCAGGATTCTGGGTGAAAGGAGGCCTTCACATTTGTGAGTTAGAGAGGAGTCCCAGTCACATTTTCCTACTTTTTAAATTATCACCCCCATAATATCCTCTTAATGATTAATGTAGATGCCTCTTAATGATTAATGATGCTCCCATTGACGATACCTCTTACGAGCACAGGGCTCCGAACTGTCTGGCCGGCAGCTTTATCTACAGGGACAGATTTGTTGTATTGCTCTCCCTGCTAGGGGGACAGTCCCTCCCCTCTACCTGCCCTCAACACTGACCTTAGGTTCCTCCCCCTGTGAGCTCAGGGGCATCTAGGGTTAAGATACTGCCCACCTTGTTACATATGTAGATGTCTGTGGTTGGGGGAAGGGGGGGAGATCCTTGCATGCCCCTAGACTAAGTTGGTGACATAACACATTCTCTTTCACTCGGACCTCGTTTTAAGAAGGAGGTGAGCACCCAAAACCTTTTGTCTTTTTATTTGTTTTCTTCCATTACATAACTGTCCCTTAGGACCCATCTGGTTGTGGGCTAGTTCTCACAAATTTTTGGTTTAATAAAGGTTTCCAAGATTTTGTAGCAGTACTTTTTGATTTATCCTCATACACTGCCACAGACTCAAGGAATTAATGCCCCCTTTGACTTTGCCAGTCTTCTGGAAACGTTAAACTTGACGCTGCAATGCCTTAGTAGCTTTCCCAAAGTTGTGGAACAAGACTGCTCACTCTGAGGTCATTGGGCTTTGTTGAAATCTTTATTGTTTATGAGGTTGCTTTATGTTGGCAGCTTGAGTTTATTTGACTGGTAAGTCTATGTTTTCCTTATCGACTGTTGACATATTTTTGTTCATTTGTATAGGTAAAGCTTTTAACCCCCCTAAAAAATTTTTGTGTGTGTACATCTTTCTCCTTAGAGACTGTTTACTGGATTAATACTACTACTATTAGAATGATCAGATGTGGTATGAAGGCTGCTTCAGATGTAATGTCTCAGAAAGCTAATAAGCTGCCCATGATGGGATCTCTTCTCTCTCTCTCTCTCTCACACACACACACACACACACACACACACACACACACACACACACACACACACACACACACAAGATAGAGACTATGAATGGACCTGAGCTCCCACTATAAGGTTTCTAGCTTAACCACGGACCATGTAGTTCTTACAATGTGACCCTGTTACATATTTAGCTTCATAAGATGATCACTGAAGACTGGGTGTGGGAGCAAAGTTTGGTGAAAGAATTAGATGGTGTCCAGCTTTCAAAAAAAAAGGTAGTGTCTGGATTCTTAAACAGATAACCCCCTCAGGAACAATAATAGGAGTAGCTATACCATGAGGGTAGGGGAAAGGTGGGGAGTGAAGGGGGAGAAAGGGGGGACCAATTGCAATGATCTGCATAAATACCCTCCTCCCTCACCTCCACCAAGGGGGATGAGCAACAAAAACGAGGGTGAATGGAGACAGTGGATGGTGTAAGTTATGAAAATAATAATAATTTAGAATTTATCAAGGGTTCATGAGGGTGGGAGGGTGGGGGAGGGAGGGGGAAAAAAGAGCTGATACCAAGGGTTCAAATAGAAAGAAAATGTTTTGAAAAGGATGATGGCAACATATGTACAAATGTGCTTGATACAATTGATGTATGGATTGTTACAAGAGATGTAAGAGCCCCCAATAAAAGCAACTTCATTCTAGCCCCAATATAAGAGCAATTAGTTCTCATGACTTGGCCCTGCTTGACGCTCACCCTTACGGAGAGATCACTAAGATACGAGTGTTATAGCTAAGTGTGGTGAAGAAACTAGATGGTGCCCAGCTATCAGAAATAATAGAGTCTGTGGTCGTAAAGGCTTATCTTCAAACAAGCAGCCATCTAAGTGAGGCATCAGCTAAGTCCACATGGAAGAAGTTCGCCAGTCTGTGTGATCCAAGGACTGTAAATAATACAAATACAAATCCAAAGGAGGGAATGGTATCAGAGCTTAAATTGTGCACACTTGGTTTGCAGAAGGCTATGGACGGCAATGGAAGCCCCAAATCCATTTTCAGGGTCCCACATGCATTAAGTCTCTCAGGAATTCCCCCTGACCATATGGTTGAGGGATGTGAATAGCCTTGCTATGAGGCAGAAAGCATTGTAAAATCAATTATGGCAGATATAGTTAAGCTAAAATGTAATCTTATCATTTGATCTCCCTTTTGATCCAATTTTCATTTGTTCTAGGTTTTTGATATTTCCTACTTTTCTTTTGATTGAGGTTTTCCTCTGCTTTACTTTGCTATTGTTGTTAGTTTTATTTATCTGTATGATTTTTTTTTCTGTATATGAAATCCAGGACAGGTAAATCTATCAAGATAGTAACTAGATTAACGGCTTCTTGGAGGTTTGGCAGGGGTGTTGAGAGGGTGGGGATGTCGAGCTAAGAAAAATAAGTATAAGAAAAGACAAAATGTTCTAAAATGGATTGTGTTAATGATTGTACAACTCTTCTTGATATGATTGAACTATTAAGTTGCATGATGTATAGATTATGTGCCCTCAAAACCCTGTTTTCAAAAGAAAACCCTTATCCTAAAATAAGAATCAGCTAAAAGGAGCCATCAGCCAGCTTACAGAAGAAAGTACACCAACCTCACAGTGATCAAAGATTTTAAATAAAACCCAAGGTTAGAGAAAGGGGTGTATCAGCACGTACATTCTACAGCAGGAACTCGAACTCTGTTTTACGTCTGTTCCTAAAGTCAGATGCCACGTGAGTTCTTTCTGACCATTAGGCCAGGGGCAAATTTAGGAAGGAGCTGTTTGCACTCGCAGAGTGTGATTACACCTCCCAGGCAAGCCAGGGAGGGGCAGGGAACCGGTCGGGTCATGTCCTTAATGATTTATGAAAATAGCTGCATGTTAATTTAAACGCTGAGGTCCTGGTGACTAAGATTCAGGGGCATGTGGTTACACGGTCATGTGATATAAGGTCTAGAACCAACCCTGTAACCCTTTAAATCTGTGATTGTGCACCTATCCCAGCCATGGTCCTTTCCCCACATGGATATTCCTACCTGTAGCAGTGATGACTTGACCTCTGCCCATCATCATTTTGTGATAATCGCCCAGGTTTGCTACCATATATAATTGACCCTACAGCTGTGTGTCAGTGGACTCCGTTGGCCTCTGTAGCGTGTGCTTGCTGAGGTTTCGCCCCTCTGGGAGACTGCCTTTGTGCAGTTTATGGCTTCACTGAAGAGCCTCTAGAACACGCCTACCCCTGGTGTCTCTCATCCCTCACACAGGCTGCAAAGCCAAAAGGTAAGGCGTTTGAACCCCCCAACAGCCCCCCAGCAGAAAAAAGCTGGCAACCTGCTCCTGTTCAGAGTAAAGCCAGGACCCCCTCCCTGGAGCAGCTCCACTCAGTTTCACAGGGCCACTCTGACTTGCAAGAAGGAGCAGTGGTTAAAACACTTGACAGCTAGTCCTGGGGTTGGGAAATTGAACCCACCAGCCACTCATCTGGATAACGGAGCCAAGAGGCCCACAGAGCGGGCACTGAGTACAATGTTCATGGATGCCCTCTCCCGCCCTGGGAATGTAGGGCCCAGAGGAAGCCCAACCCGCACGATGGCTTTACCTTCCTCAGGCGCCAGCTGGACAGCATGGGATTCATGCAGGATTTCTGCCACCGGCCTGCGGGTGTAGAGGATCGTGGCACCACTCAGGTTGACCTGGACCTCCTGGGCCCGAGAGGTGAGATTGGCCAGACACAGGGTCAGCTTCAGGTCGTGGCCCAAGACAGGAGGCTCCAGCAGCTTGAACTTTCCGGTGATGCTGGGCTTTGTGGCGGGCTCCAGGAGGTCATCCTGCCACACGCCTCGCCCTCCGGCCCTGCGGACACGGTCCCTTCTTCCGAAGGCCTCCACGCTCAACAGCTTCCGCATGGCCTTGCGGTACACCTGTCTCTCCTTCCGGGACCCTGCGGGCCATCACGTGATGTCAGAGCACAGCATCTATTTCCTCTTTCTCCACTCCCCTCTTCTCCTTCCCCGTCTTCTCAGGGGACACCATCACTCCTCCCCCGACACCACCCCCCCCCCCCCCCCCCCCCCCCCCCCCCCCCCCCCCCCCTGCCCCAGGGCCATATGCATCCCTCAGGCCACTGTGGTTTCCAGACTATTTAAATAATGTTTTATGCAGTTGCCAACCACTGCAGGTCAAGAAATTTTACCTGAAAACAGACTTCTATATTCCCTGACAACTGGGCCTGAAGAGCTCACATGATTATAATAAGTAATATTTTGATAAAATTGCATGTGCCAAGCACTACAACTCTAAGAACTATGTTTTTTCCTTCTAGGAGGTTGGTACTATTTTCAAACCCACTTCACAGACGAGGAACCGGAGGCACACAGAAGTAAAGCAATTTGTTTGCCAGAAAGCTCACTGCGCAAGGGAGGCAGGAGCTGAACCTTGCAGACTGGCTCCAATTGAAAAGGCATCATTTAACAGGCTCCATTACCATCTCTCTGCGCGGCAGTTAAGAAGCACTGGTGACAATACCTAAGTGCTCGGCTGCTAATCAAAAGGCCAATAATTTGAACCCTCCAGCCACTGCAGCCTGGTGCTCTGCTCCCCGAAAGAGTTCAGTCTGGAAAACCATATGGGGCAGTTGTAGTTCTGCCCCACTGAGTCACGGAGTTAGAAATGCCTCCCTGACACACAACAAGGCAATTATAGCCCGCAGGTGAGTGCTGTCCTCTTTGGAAGGCAATGTTTTCTCTAGTTCTCACAGGTCTCCACCACGTAATCTCTGGCTTCTGCTCAGTTACTGGGTGCCATCTGCAAGACTCCAGAAGACATAAATTTAGAAGATCTGATCGCTTGCTTTCTTGTTGCTCACGCAGAACTCTCTCTTGAGCGCCAGATACCAATATATATACAAACAGGTCAGCTATACTAAACGACTACAGGTGCTTCAAATCCCACCAATGACATCATCTTCTACCCTGAAGCATTCTCCAGTAAAGGGCTCCACTATCTGCTTGGTTGGGCAAGCCAGAAACCCACCTACAGCTGACAACTGACTAGTCACTAAAACGAAACAAAACAAACTCAGTCTTCAAGTCGATGCTGACTCATAGTGACCCTATAGGACAGGGTAGAACTGCCCTGTGAGTTTCCAAGCCTGTAACTCTTTATGGGAGTAGAAAGTTCTGTCTTCTCCCAAGGAGCGATTGGTGGTTTCTGTAAAGGCCTAATAGAGTAAAATAATATGTCTAAAGTTACTCCATCTTGAAATATGTTCCTCCATTTTAGAAATATGTTATTTTAGAAAAACAAAACACTGCAACCTTGCAAATATACGTCAGCCAGAAACTTTGCAAGAATATCTGGTCCAAGATAAACCGGGCAGGACGTGCCGAACGACCCACATTCTGTTATCTTGTGCATACGTCCTTCCCCACCCCGTGCTCTACCCCCCTCGCTTTGTTGGTTTGAAGTGTATAAAGAGGAGGAGAAAGTTTTGCCTGGCGCTGCAGTCTTGGGCCCTGCGTGGCCATGCTGTAGCCCAAATCTGGATTTGCTATTTGCTCTTTTTCTCTAATAAACCTTTGCTCTTCTGTAATAAAGTTTTGCTTTGTTACTTTGCAGCTGCTTGTGGGTCAGTGGTCTTTTGTTGGGCATGACTCCGTAACAGTTTCCAACTGTTGACCTTGCAATAAGCAGCTCGACTCATAACCACTACACCACCAGAGCTAAGTCCTCCTTAATACCTTGAATTCTTTTTCCAACCTCACTCGTGCTCAAGGCACTATCACACTTCTGGGACAGTGCTAGCCACCTTCCAGTAGCCAGCCACCAGCTCCATCACCATTCCAGGCTGCCTTTGCCCCCATCACTCCAAAATCCAACTCTAGCTCATTCCACTTCCTTAGATTTTTAGTTTCTGCCACACCACTCCTTCTCAAGCATTTTCTCCAAAGTTCCTAGTAAAATATGACCTTGTACCAAAAGGCTCCATAGGGACATAAAAGTTGCTTAATATCTCTGGTGCTCCAAGTCGTGAATGCAACATACCGGCATGAAGCAGGGAATCAATAGAGAAGGCTGAGGGGCCGGCCCCAATCCCAACTACGTGCACAGCACCCTCTCCCCACAGAATAATTCACTTCAGAGGACAGCACTGAAGCTACAGCTCAGGGAGAGGGACATGTCTGATCAGAGCACACAGGAGCACATGAAGGGAGAGGAAGAGAGAGTGGAACACATTCTGGCCCACCAAGCCCTGAGGACGATATTCCCACTCAGAGTAGCCAATGCCCAGAGAGGACCGAATGGCCGGCCCCACTATGAGACTTGATGTCCCTCACTGACCCATAGCGCTACGGGCACAACATTGCGGACACAGTGCAGGAATTGTGCCCGATCTGACCCCACCACACGGACTAGAAACACTAAGGGTATGCAACAGAACAGCAAGGGGAACAGAGCAACAAAGTCCCCAGAGAAAACCAAAAATAGACTCTGGGGCCAGGGTGTGGCAGCCCATCAGACTCAACCGGAAAACATTTCTAAAGGTCAACAAACAGACCTTGAACTATTTACAGGCTTTTCATTTTTTTTGTCCTTGATTTTGTTGTTGTTGTTTTGTTTTCTTTTGTTGCTCTGTTTTGCTCTGTTTTGTTTTTGTGTATATTATTATCTCTGCAGGTCTATCTAGATAAGATAGGCGGGATAAACAATCTGGAGGATAAAACAATCTGGAGGAGTAAACAATGAACCGATGGTTCTGGGGGGCCATGGGAGAGGGGGAGGCAGGGGAAAGGAAGTGGGTGTTAACAAACCCAGGGACAAGGGAATAAGAACTGATCCAAAATCAATGGTGAGCAGGGTGTAGGAGGCCTGGTAGGGCTTGATTAAGGGTAATGTAACCGAGAGGAATTACTGAAACCCAAATGAAGGCTGAGTATGATAGTGGGACAAGAGGAAAGTAAAAGGAAATAGAGGAAAGAACTAGGAGACAAAGGGCATTTATAGAGGCCTAAATAAAGGCATGTATATATGTAAATATATTTATATATGAGGATGAGGAAATAGATCTATGTGCATATATTTATAGGCTATTATTAGAAGATGGATATTGGGCCTCTACTCAAGTATTCCCTCAATGCGAGAACACTTTGTTCTATTAAACTGGCTTCCATGATGCTCACCTTCCTGACACAATCGCTGAAGATAAACCGGGTGAATAAGCAAAAGTGGTGATGAAAGCTGATAGAGCCCAGCTATCAAAAGATATAGCATCTGGGGTCTTAACGGCTTGAAGGTAAATAAGCAGCCAATTAGCTCAGAAACAAAAAAAAAACCCACATGGAAGAAGCACACAAGCCTGTGTGATCATGAGGTATTGATAGGATCAAGCATCAGGCATCAAAGAACAAAAAATCATAGCATTGTGAATGAGGGGGAGTGCGGAGTGGAGACCCAAAGCCCATCTGTAGGCAACTGGACATCCCCTTACAGAAGGGTCACAGGAAGGAGACAAGCCAGTCAGGGTAAAGTATAGCACTGGTGAAACATACAACTTTCCTCTAGTTCTTTAATGCTTCCTCCACGCCCCCACTATCATGATCCCAATTCTACCTTACAAATCTGGCTAGACCAGAGGATGTACACTGGTACAGATAAGATCTGGAAACACACAGAATCCAGATAAACCCCTCAGGACCAATAATGAGAGTAGTGATATCAGGAGGGTAGGGGGAAGGAAGGGGAGAAAGGAGGAGCTGATCACAATGATCTCCCTGGGGCACGGACAACAGAAAAGTGGGTGAAGGGAGACATGAGACATAGTAAGACATGACAAAATAATAATAATTTATAAATTAACAAGGGTTCATGAGGGAGAGAAGGTGGGGGAGGGAGGGGAAAAATGAGTGGCTAATACCAAGGGCTCAAGTAGAAAGCAAATGTTTTGAGAATGATGAGGGCAACAAATGTACAAATGTGCTCGACACAATGGATGCATGATGGATTGTGGTAAGAGTTGTATGAGCCCCCAATAAAATGATTTATAAAAAAGTTACTTATTATCTCTAGTATTGATATATAATTCACCCATTTAAAGTGTACAAATAATTGCTTTCTTTAGACTCTTCAGTCATATAACAGTCACCAAAATCTAATTTGTTGCAAAACTCAAAAAACAAAACTCACTGCCACCGAGTCAGTGCTGATTTGTAGTGACCCCTGTAGGTTTCTGCGACTGTGACCGTTTATGGGAGTAGAAAGCCCAGTCTTTCTCCTCATGGTGGCTTTGAACTGCCAACCATGCAGATCACAGTCCAACTTGTAACCACCATGCAACTAGGGATCCCCCCAAGCCCCATAAGTCCATAACCATTAGCAGTAACTTCCTGCTTTCTCCCCCACCTCCTCCCACACTTTCCCCAGCTCTAATTCACAGCTTTAAATTTCTAATTCACAACTTTGCATTTCTAATTCACAACTTACATTTATAATTTGCCTATACTGGGCATTTCATGTAAAAGGAGCCTACAATGTGTGGTCTTTTTCACTTACTTTAATGTTTTCAAGGTTCATTCATGTTGTAGTATGTCCCACCATTTCATCTTTGTTAATGACAAATAATTTCTTAATGAACGGTGAAACCACATTTTCTATATACATTGATGAACATTAGTGTCATTACTTTTCAAGTGATGATGAATAATGTTGCTATCAGCATTCATATTCAAGGTTTACTGGCATGTATGTTTTTATTTCATTTGAGTGCATATCAGTGAGTAGAAATGCTGGGGCACATGATAAGTATGTTTGACATTTTAAACTGTCAAGCTAATCTCTAGAGTTATTTCATGATTGTAGCCATGGAGATGTGTCACTCCCACCAGCATGAGAGTTCTGGTTTATCCACATCTTAACTAACACCTGTTATTGTTTTTTTTTTTCAAT